GATGACGTGTATAGTATTCTCAACTGGACTGGTCTGGGAAGTATTTCATGATGGGTGAAGTCTTTTAACAAGCAAAATGAGAAATAGTGATTGACTGTTTTAAAAAATTAGAATAATAATAATAATTATTGGGAAATGCATGGAAAAGACATTGAATGATAAAGCGGGGAGATTGATGTAAAAAAAAACTAATCTGTGGTCTATAAATAAATAAATAAATAAATAAATAAATAAAAGCAGATTAGATCATTCAGAAGATCAAATCTTGAATCTAGAAGACAAAACATCTGACCTAGAAAAAAATCACCAAAAATAATTTTTAAAAAAGTGAGGATAATATATGGGAAATACTGGGTACCATTAAATGTCCAAATATCATAATGATTTGTATCTCAGAAGGTGACAAATCTAATAAAGGCATTAATGATCTATTCCATGAAATGTTGAAAGAAAACTTTTCAAGCCTAGAGAAGCAACCAAAAATCCAGACTCAAGAAATACAAAGGACCCAGGGGCCAGCAGATGGTTATGTCGTTGGACTCCCACATAGTCGACAGTGGTTTAGTCCCAGACCCAGCAGCTTAAAATTCATGCCAGGTGCATGTGCATGCATACCCAAGATCCCAAGAGGAGAACGGAAGAGAAGGGATTGCAGCATGGCCATACATCCCCTCCCCCAAGGGATTATTTCTCACTTCATCTCTCTGGTGAACACACACACCCTATAGCTAAAATCTCTCTCAAGAAAGAAAAGAAAAAGAAAGAAATACAAAGGACCCCAAGTAGAATCAATCCAAGAAGATCCTAGCCAGATTGGCCAAAATTGCACATAAAGATAAGATTCTAAAAATGGTAAGAGAGAGATGTCAAGCTACTTACAAAGATTATCCCATCAGACTAACATTGGACCTCTCAGTGGAAACAATGCAAGCAAGGAAAGAATGCAAAGATGTATTCAAAGTGTTAAAAGAAAAACAATTTTAACCAAGATTATTATACCCAGCAAGATTATCCTTGGAATGAGAAGAAAAGATAAAAACATTCTCAGATAAACAAAGCCTGAAAGAATTTACCAGCACCAGACCAGCTCTTCAAGAGATGCTGAAGGGAGTGCTATACCAGGAAAACTAAAGGGAGTCATGTAGAAATAATAGAGCAAAAGACAACCAAGAAAATAGCTAACATAATGGTAGGAACAAGTCTGGAAATATCAATAACAACATTGGATGTTAGTGATTACATTCTCCAATCAAGAGACCCAGATTGGTTGAATGGAAAGAAAAAAAGAATTCAGAAACCCTCTATCTGTTGCTTACAAGAAACACACCTGACAGATAAAGACATACATAGACTAAAAGTGAAAGACTGGAAAAAAGGTATTCCAGGCAAATGGAAACCAAAAACATTGTGATGCTGATTTCAAACAAAACAGATTTTAAGACAAAAACTCTAAGAGACAAAGAAGGGCATTACATAGTAGTAAGAAGGTTAATTCGTTAAGAAGATGTAACACTTACAAATATCTATGCACCCAACTCAGGAGCACCCAAATATGTGCAGGACAGACTGCTGGATCTAAA